GACTTACAAGGTTAGCACTGAGTAAGTTAGTGAGTGCAAAGTAGTATGATAATGGAGATGAATTACATACTTGAAATGGCACGTTCCGGCTCGGCCTTTATATAAGTATGAGTGGTTGAAATCGTTTGTGGATCATTCAACGCCCTACGTGGATGACCATTTAATTCGATATCAATGGTAAAAGATATTATGGAAGGCGTGGTCGTGTGTCATCGGCAAAGATGATAGTCCACCTATTTAATATGTCTTCCCCCTTCAAAACTTGTTATTGAGTCTTCTTCGTAGGCCTTGCAAACGGTCCATAACAATGCCCACGTATTGTGTTTGATTTATGTTATATATAATGTGAATAACGTTATAGTATACATGCATGATCATTTTTTGTGGGTAAATTATATGTGTTCTTCCTCATTCATATAGATAATACAAGTCTTTATTTATTGTAGATATTTTTTCGAGTATCTAATATGTACGAGTTTAATTGTCACCTCTAAATTAAACTTAATTTCTATAAAAAAATACATAATTAATATTCAAAATTATCAATTCATGACAGAATAGTCCTTAAAAGATTAAAAACACACAAAAAACATTTTAAGGAAGGGACAATTTTTTTTTTTACATAAGAAAGGGACAAAATTAAAAAACAACTTAGCGTCTTAAATTTAGCATCTAGTAAAAATAGATTAATAAAGTTGGTTTTTATGAAATAGTCAATTGTAACTGGAAGTGCCACTATTGGTTTGGGATGAAGCGAAGGTTATTCGCGATGGTAAGACGGGTGACAGCGCGAAACGAGGTTGCAGTATTGGATCCTCTCATGTTGCTTTGGTTCAACTTTGTCTTCTTTTTTCAATCTAATGGTTGATATCACACAAACAAACAAATAATAAGATAAAGGAAAGAGACAATAATAGATCTAATGGTTGATAATAGAGTATGATAAAAAAAAAACAGAGAAATTGCATGAGAGGATTCAAATCCCTCTTAGAGTTCTTGTTACACTGAAGGATGATAGGTTGTGAGCCTGGATCGGATTCTAGACCAATCTCTTATTTTGAGAATTGATAATTCCACCCTAAGTGGTGGAAAAACACCCTATAAAAATTCAAAATTGTTCTTCTGATTTCATAGATACGTCTCTGAACGCATCCCGAGTCTCACTAAACACGCCCAAACCGAATTTCACTCCACTTTTTTTCAAAATTTATTTCGGAGAAGTGTCTCCAGACTAACTCCATGTACACCCCAATGCAATCCTCAGTGAAACTCCCTTTTTTTAACATGAATTTTTCCGGAGATGCATCTCTGTATTCACACCAGACATAATCAGAAGATAAATCTCCAGAACCTCGCCAAACAGTAATTTTTACTTTGATTTAGAGATGGTCTGATGAATTTGACGATATATTATGAGAGATTATAGCTATAATATCATTTTTAAGTTTGTATAAATTAAACCACTGGGATAATATGAAAATAAAATATATAACTTAATGAATATGAAGTATACAATGAAGTCAAAATAAAATAGAACCAAAAATAGTGCTTATACCACAAATACTATATACTATTGTGTATGAAGGACTCGGACCCTCTTGTTCCAACGATGCCTCTTGTACCGCAGTGTCTCCCATGCCTCCCCTATCATGGCATCTATAACGTCTCTCGCCTCAGAGCCTTCCGAAAAGACTCCTTTTTCTATACCCGTTTGCCCAATCTACATGATACGACGATATTTTGGCAACACATCAACATCATGATTTGCCCTAGTTTTCTTCTCCTCTAAGATCTCCTGATTAGTTAGTCTAGGTGGATCTCCCAGACATTCGGTGTCATATAAGGATGTGACATCCTGAAAAACCACTGGATGTAGCTATGTACAACACTTCAATCGCTATAAGGTATGGTACTTTATGCCTCCTCTGGTATCAGATGATTAAGATAATAATCAAACATGGTATCGATATATCTATGTGTCATAGCAAGAAGAGCATACTCAAAAGGGTCTCTGAAAATAAACTGCATGTAACCAAACTGTCGCATGACGCACTCAGGCATGTGAGGATATGCTAGACGTAAAGCGCAAGCCAACCATCCTGAATATAAAGCTATGTCGTTAAAGTGATGCGTCTCGCAGTGAATAACGTAAGCATGAAAATGTATATCCCCTACTACCATTTGGTCAAGATACACTCAGTATGACTGTTTCTTGATTCCTTCTTAGCAGGAAAAATGTAGAAGCATGTCGCATATCCTCGTTGTAGGTCGGAAGACATGACCAGTCGGATATGCGTGGGAAGTGTTGGAGGATCAAAGTCTGAAAATGGTACATGTAAATTACTAGTAAAAGATGCAGAAATTGACGTAGAAAGTGTTACAAAAAGACAAAAGAAACACTAAAAGATGCATAAATATTACCATCAACAATGTGATCATGTCTATCACATGTTTGGTCTTCCACGTACAACCTTCTTCTAACTTAGAGTACAGACTGACCAAACAATCGTCCCCCCAATTGGACTCATGGGTCTGCTCCAAGTCATTTAAGTATCGCAGGTAGACTACATCCACATGAGTGACACTCTTGTCCACAAAAATAAATGCGTCAACCAAATACAGTAGGTGTGCTCTATGTCTTGCAACCTGCTCTTCATCACCAGCACTCTACTCTACGTCATGCAGTTGTTGTGTATACAACCTCTCTAGAAATTGAAACCTAGCATGAGCCCTTTAGTGACTTCTAACTCCTTCATGCCTTCACTTGGTTCAACTCCCAGACTCGTAATATTTTGACCATGGTTGATAAATTTTAAAGCATCACGGTCCTGCAGAAAAATAAATCATCGTCAGAAACTTCAAATATTATAACAAACATGTTATTTCAAAGAATGAATACAATTGAATTTTACCTCTCCATTCCATAAATGTCTAACAGTATGGTATAGATATAGAGGCAGCAACGATAAGTCTCGCGTGCCTCCTCTTAACCCCTCGAGTGCATGCGGAGCCTCTAGTGTCTCTGGTGCCTGAGTAGGTGACATTTGTCTCCTATGGAAAGACGAAGGCGGGGATGCATGAGTCCTAAAAATTGACGTTTATGCATCAACCGAGCTAGAAACAATAGGTGCCTGTGAGGCTTATGCTCTTTCCATCCAAACTGATGCATGTTCCGCAACTCTGTCATGCCTCAATCTATCTTACTTATCCGCCATAATGTTTGTATGTTAACCACACAATAATTATACCTATGAAACACAATGAGGTCAAGCTAACAAATGCAGGTTGATAAATTCCGGAGAATCAAAGCATTTTGGAAAATTTCAGAGATGTATCTCCGTAAGATTTTGCAACTCAGGAGCACGTTAATAGAGGAAATGCAGTTCATTATAACATCCAAAACAATACATTGATCATTTAAACTACCTGTCAAACACATTGTCCATTTCAATAACATATCTAAACTACCTACTACATAACCTAATGCTCAATTTCTACAATTGTATATAAAAATAAAAATAAAGTTTAGAAAAATCATAAACTTACCAAATGTAAAGTTAGTTTGATGTTGAGCAAGCTCTTTGATTAATTTGATGTTGATGGGAGAAACTTTGAAGTATGTTGAATGGTTTTGAGAGAATGTAAGTGGAGAGAGTTTGAGAGACTTCAGAGGTTGAAAGTTAGAAAGTATTTTGAAAAGTGAGAAAGAAAAAAGGGTCTGGCACGTCTCCGTAAGTTACACGGAAATGCATTTTAGTAAAAAAAAAAAAAAAAAGAATTGCATTGCCTTAAAGTCTGACGCATCCGAAAATAAATCTCCAAATTCTATGAATAATTTTTTTATTTACGAGGGTGTGATAGTAATTGTTTAGAGTGCCTTAAACAATTCCACTTATTTTTCATTTCAAGTCAAAAATTATTCTATGAAATATTTTAAAAGTAATTTGGACTTCTTGCATTATTTTTTAATGATAAATTTTTTTGAACCAGCCGTCCTCTTCAATCTAGTGCGCTTTCAAGCTTCATCTTCCTTTTACTTTCATCATCCCTTTATCTTTCTTTTTCTTCTTTCTTTAATTCATTTCTTTTTTTGTCTAAAAGAATTCATTTTTTTCCCTTTGTTTTCTCTCTCTTTTTTTTTCCACCTTTTTCTCATTCACTTTTCCTTCTTTCTTTCCCCTCTATTTTTTCTTTCATTTTCTTCCCTTTTCTTTTTTATTCTATCTTGTCTCTCTTTTCTTCTTGTTAGTCTTATGTTTTACATCTACAAACCTTTTGCTTATTCTTTTGATTAAGACTTGTGAGTTTTTAGAACTTTTCTATTAAAATTTGTATCTTGATATATTAATGCTGTATGGATTGAGGTATTTGATTAAGTTTACTCTAAATGTATAATTATGCTTATAATATTATTCATGTAAATTTTGTCCAAAAATTATTAGAAAGCATATCCTATTTTCCGCCATCCGGTAGTTATTACTCTGGTTTTCGCAGGCATCAAAAGTATATAGAGAGATGTTTTAAAAAACAATAAAAGTGGAATGAATGAGAGACATAAAGTGGAAATCTAAAAATCTAAATATATTACTCTGGTTTTTCCTTCTTTTTTTCTTTCGTCTTTTCATTTTGGATAGAATAAAAGATTTTTATTTATAGTTACACATTACATGTTATGGCACAAGTAAATCCAGAAAACCCCGACACTTAAAAAATAATGTACACTGATGGAAACTCTCAACTTTGATACCTGAAGCCAATCCAAGCAGGGTCTATACACACTCTTTGAAACACTTGTGGACAGAGTCAGTAACACAATCCTCTTCGAGACGCCATAGTCAATATTACTGTAGTTTTAGAGTTCCATAAAATGGCCAGAGAGTGGAAAATCTGCAGAACAAATATCTCAATGGCTTCAACACAATCTGCACAGGAGATCATCTTAAAAGGAAACTCCACCACTCTCAAATCCGAATCATCTCCGCCTCTGAAACACATCTAATCTAGGCCCTTCTGTTACGGTGAGACGGGCTATTTATATTTCGAGAACCAATGCTTGCAGTTCTTAAAAGTCTCCGAAATTCTGGTAAGCTGATCTTTCCATCTTTGTCAATATCGGCTTCCTCAAGCAAAGGATCAATGGAGCCTCTCATACCAGTATGCTAAAGAGACAGAGAGCGATATTAGTTTGCAGCAATTATGTATTTGAAGTAGAAAACACAATTTAGTTTTTGATATTAAGAAAAATCAAAAGTTGGTGAAACTAAAATTTCTCAATCACACTAATCGTCCCCAAGACAATTTTAGGGACCAAGTTAACTGACTCAAGAATTAATGTAATCGAGAATTTTCAATTTCAAATATCATTTTGGCATTTCATTATGTTGAGACACTATTTTTTGACACCTACAATATCAGAGCCTAAACTGGTGATTCACTCATTTTTAAACATAAATGAATAACAAAGCTAATGCGGGGTAGATTTTCAAGCTATGTTCAAACACTCCTCATCTCAAAAAATAACACAAAGATTGATAAAGAATGCAAAAATTAAGTACATTGCAGGAGAACCACTTTTAATCATAGGGAGAAAGTTTATCTTAAAAATTGTTGAGATGGAGAAAGACCAACCAAAACTGTTAAGGGAGATTGAGAAACACCAACCATTCTCAGTTCCTCTGGAGTAATATAGCCATCCTTATCTAAGTCAAATTTCTCAAAAGCAGCCTGTGACCGTTGCTGCCACTTATCAGAGTCATGCTCCTCCAATTGATGCACATGTAATGTAGCTGCTACAAACTCGGTAAAATCTACAAGTCCATCTGTGTTGCTGTCTATCTGCCAGCATAAAAGAAAGTGAGTTAGTCTTTTACAGGGAAAAGCAAAACATGTGAAGATGGCCATGAGTGATGAGGGAAGCAACATCTATTTTCATTAAATCTATATTTTAATAAAAGATGAGAAAATGATATCGGGAAACACCAAAGAAACTTTCAATCTTTCAAATTTTAAAAGTGGAATAAAGGATGATAAGTGGCCAACAAATCTGGATGGTGCCAGCAAAGGGTCTTGAATACTAACCGCTTGCAATATCTCTAATACCCGGGAATCTTTCAACTTCCATGGGAGATCTTTAGCAAGAGCCTGCAAAAACTTCACTTTAGACCCAAGCAGGGAATAAATTAATCCCTAGAAGAAGTGGTGTGTTTTGATTTATGAGTTACCTGTCTCATCTCTTCAAGACTAATAGCACCATTTTTGTCCACGTCTATTGCATCAAACTGATCTTTTAGATCAGAAAACTCACCTTCGTTAAGTGTGCTGGCCAATGCCTGCAAGATAACCAAGTAATCAGAAAATCAACATCAAACAAACTAAGTGCCTTCTAGCCTGCAAAGACTTGAATTAATGAACCTTCTTACCCTCAATGCAAATTGTTTCAATCGACTATACTTTACAAACTGTCGCATGTTATTTAGGACAGATATATCAATCGGAATCTCGGATGCCTCTCCGCCTTCTCTAACCCATGGATGTGCTGTAAATATCAGAATTCATCAATATAACTCAACATTAGGGTATAGCTTTGTTTAAAAGATGTTTTAAAAGGTAAAGGAAAAATGTACACAATTTATGGTTGTGTTTAAGTCTCAGTTCTTTGTTAAAATGAAAAGAAAGAAACACCATTTAAAATGATTGTCATGTCTGAATGAATCAAAATTTTATTAGAAAAAACAACTGCATTAATTATGCAAACCAAATGCGGCTGAATAATTACAGAAAGGATTGAGCTGAACTTAAGGGTTTCAGCCCCATTTTAATTTGGAAAATGACTACCAAAGCACTCTTTATCTCATTTTAGTTAACCGGCTTTTCAGTTTTAAATAATTTTTTGACTGTTGCATACTAACAGTTATGTGCAGTTAAGTTTGCCAAGTTATTTTTCGTCCTATGTTTTCCTCCTTTCTTTGTGTTATCCCTTGAATAATTCACTTAGAATGTAAGCAAACATTCATTGAAAACAAAACAAAAGAAAAACTGTAATCATACATCATTAAAAGATACATTGGCCTCAAGCAGGGGAAAAAGAGTTAATGCAATGTTTTTAAAAAGGTTGCATACAACTTCAACCGTAAAAATTCTAAATTTGGGGCAATTTTGCATATATCACCACAGCTTCAATATTTGATATCACTCAAACAAAATACTTCCAATTGTAGGGATAAATAATTCAGCAATTAAACTCATTGTTTGAAATGAAATAGTTTTTCAAGTGCTATAAATTCATTGGATAAACTCTTTCTTCTTTTTGAAAAAAGGCAAGACTCGGTTTTTATATAATATTCGCAATTTTAGTTTAGTTCATCATTAAGTATTATTGAACATCTTAAGTTTGAAGAAGTGACAAATGTAATTATTTTAAGAAAAGGAAACTGGATAACGTTATAAACAGCCTTCTCATTATAAGAAGTGGAAAACATACATAGAGCCTGAGCAGCAGTTAATCTTGCCCGAGGATCTTTTACCAACAATTTCTTCACAAAATCTTTTGCAGGAGTACTTATGGTTGGCCATGGTTTCCGCCGGAAATCAGGCTTATTCCGTAGGACCTGCATATGACGTGATCATATATTAAAGGGAAAGGTCAAAGACTTACTCATGTTGTTAAAGATAATATATAGAAATTTCAACATAAAAAAAAAAACAGGAAACTCAAAATGTAATAAGAATTCAGTTACCTCCTTGAAGATACCATCCTCAGTCTTATCCCAAAATGGCCGTCTCCCACAAAGCAATATGTATGTAATCACACCAATACTCCATACATCAGATTCAGGGCCTGACTTCCGTTTTAACACTTCTGGTGCAACGTAGTAAGCACTTCCAACAATATCCGGAAACCTTTTTCCTGAAGATTTAATTTCAAAGAGATAGAACAAGAAGTCTCAAATAAAGATTGCAAGAGCATGTCTGATACATAGGGGCATGAAAATGAAACAAATCAATCAAATGATTAACATAAATAGTTTTCCTCACCAGGTTTTATGAAATCAGACAAACCAAAATCAGTAGCCTTTAAAGCTGAATCTTCTCTATTTGATTTGAAAAGAAAATTCTGCATACAAAGAGGAAAACAAAATGAATTTAATATCTAGTAGCATTACCCACATAGCTTAAATATGATAGTGGACTTGACCATACCTCTGGCTTCATGTCGCGATGTACTAAACCATGTAAATGACATTGAGCTGCAACCTTCAGCATCTGCCTTACAACCACTGCTGCATCTTTTTCAGTATATCGGCTGTCCTTCCTGCAAAAGAAGAGGTAGAAAAACTAAGTTCAGGATAATAGATATAAGCACATTACTAAAAACAGAAAATTAACAAGAAATAATATTTTGGAATCGTCGGCAATCCTGGTACTGAAAATTTGTGAAATTGTAGACACTCTGAAGAGCCAACTAGACAGTAAAGAAAAAATCAATCACATCCAAGATCAAACAGAACTTACTTGCCCAATATCCGGTCTAGTAGTTCTCCCCCCTCGCATAACCTAATCAAATAAATTGTCAATCAGTTTACTTTAATAGTCATATAAAGGAACAAAACAACAGATAAAGTAAAGACAGCGCAAATGATTTGACGAATCAGCCGCCAAAAGACATATCCAGAATTTATTGCAGTCTAATAATGCTCGGAATCATATAGCGAAACGAAACGGTACAAAAATAAGAAAGAATAGAAGGGGAGAAATTAACTTACTCCATAACTATGTACACATATGAATCATCCTCGAAAGCGTTATAGAACTGAACCACGTTTTCATGGCCTGTAAGTTCTTTCAATATCTTGACCTCTCTCTTTACATCTTCAACAGCAATGGGGAGAACCATCTGCGACAAAACTCAAACGATTGATTCATGTGTATACGAAGCATAACAAGAACAGTCATAACCTACTAAAAAGGGCTCTGAGCAAAAATAGGAACTTAAAACTCAGATTACACATTCATTTAAAATCCATTGGAAGCATTACAAAACTAACAAGATCTGGAATTACTCCGTCAATCTTTTACTTGAAGTCACATTATTCTCCCTCGCATTAAACACTGTTATAACCATCCTTGGAGGATTCCACAACCAAAGGATGGAAAAAACTGGAAAAACCTTTATAACCGCAATTGTAGTTGCAACTCGCAATACAAAGGATTTGAAGGTCTACTTAACCGTATCACAGCCACACTTGCATCAGCGTCAACCACATTTATTCATAATTTCCCGCAATGTCAAACATCGCAACGCAACCACAATTCAAAAGCCATAATACAACAACGAAATGGCTTGATATACAAGTTACATAACAAGTCAATCATAACCAGTTACAAAATAACTTCAAACTTGAACACCAAAAAGTTAAGCAAGTCTAGGTCAACATCAATCAAAAAATCTGAACAATCCCCATTCAAAAAACAACAAACTGTACCTCCAGAAACCAAATCTCACAAATTCTTCCTAAATCCTAACTCATTGACCAAACAAAACAAAATCACAAAATCAAAAAGCACGAACAATACCTTTGCTTTCTCGAGTCTCTTAACAGCAACACGATCTCCATTAGATTTATCAATTCCAACATAAGTATAACCAAATTGTCCATGTCCCAACAATTTCCCAAGCGAAAACCTCTTATCAAAATCCTTCTCATAACCAAAATCCGTTCGCTTCCCACACGGAATATGCCGCGAATTAACTTTATCTTTCGGCTTCGTCTGCTGACTCGGAGTACCTTTCTTCTGGCCTTCATCCGCTCCTCTCCTCCGCTGACCAGAGCTCTGCACCAGATGTTTCTGTACCGTCACCGCCGCCGCCGCCTTCGTTGACGTCCCGGTAACGGTTTCAGTCGAAGTCGTCGAATTACGTTTACGGTTATCATTATTCGTTGTGTTTCCGTTAGAGCCGTTAACAACTTTTGTAGAAGAAAAACATAAACCCATGGTGTTTGAAAAATAGATCAAAAGCAATGGAAAAAATTGGATATATGAGAAAACTTATCAGTCATAGAGAAATGAAAACGTGTATGAGGTGTAGATGATTAAGAGAGAGAAAGAAGAGAGAGAAATAGGAAGGAATGGGGCAGGGACGACGAAGAAGGGAAGAAGAAGGAGAAGGTAAAGATGGTCAAAAGAGACTTTTTGAAAGATGAATGAAGAGAGAGAAAAAACACGATTAAGAAAATAATTAATATAATCACGAAATAACTAAAACAGAATTAAAACAATTGAGTTGAAATAATAATCGATTTGTGTATATTTATTCTTTCATCTTGCAACTTAGTTGTCACATTCTTACATTAGTTTTTACTTATTTTGAGAAATATGACATGTTAACAACTCTTATTTTCTGGTTTCCATTTTTTTTGTTAAGAAATTATTTTTAAGAAAAAGTAGCTGTTTGAATTTTTTGTGTGTGAGATGATTATGGTTTATTTTTCTTTCTTTTTTAAGTATAGACAATAATGAAGTTTGAGTTTGAGATTTACTTTCCATGTATAATTTAACATATAATATATAACAAATAAATTTTGTTAGAGTTAGTATGAGTTGGGGTGAAGAAACTAATTCATAGTTAAGTCTCTCTTTTCGTTTTTATCTATTGAAAATATTAAATTATTATATTTTACTCAAAATATTTATAAATTAAATAAGATTATTTTGAATATTCATTAGATTAAATAAATAAATAGTCAAATTTCATTTTATTTTTCCCATAAAGAAACTCTAAGGGTAAATGGATGAAATCATTGTAAATGGATGAAATCAAGTTATCCACTTAGTAAAGTATATGATATGTGCCCATAAATGGTAGGATTGTGCCTAAAATTTTACAAATTTAAATAAGATTAGTATATATATATATATTTTTTGAAAATCTACTACAAGAGAATGTAAAGATAAAATAAGTAAGTAAAAGAAAGCAAAATATGAAGAAAAAAGTTAAAATATTATTGAAGAAAAAATATATATATATATATATATATATAGTGAGAGAGAGATATTTTTATCACTATCATAAAATAGTGCAAGTAGTCGGCAAAAAATATGTATGACCATTGTAAACTAAAGTAATGAGTTCGATTTTTTATCTCACAAAAAATAGGAGAATTTTTGTCTCTTCCTCCTTTTGTAGTGTGTATGCATAAGTGTACTAATAAATGGATCAAATTTATTCTTAAACTACTTTGTGACCATATAAAATGAAATATTGCTTCATATTTTCATTGGTGACTTATTAATGGATCTATACGCATTAACCTATCCAATAAAGTTTTTAGAGGAAATAAGTGGAGTCCAAGACCTTTGTTTTAGGAGATTTCTTATTACATCTATTGATTTTTCCCGTATCATTATATATATTCTTTAATTTTGAAGATATATCTTCGGACCCACTAAAATTTAAGTGAATGTTGAAATATTTTGAAAATGTATCTCTGAAACATTTTAAAAGTTAATAATGCACTAGATTCTTCTCCTCCCACACTTTTCATTTTCCTTCAACCTAACACTCAACTCTTTTCCTTCTCAATATTCTTTAACTTCACCAAATCAGATTTCATCAACAGGAGGTTTAAGAAAACATCAAGCATCATCCATTTCATCATTAAAATCTAAATTTCGAGTAAGTTTTTTGAATTTTCGATAAATATTCAAGTTTTAGTGTAAACGAGTAAGAATCAATTGTTAGAGGTATAAATGTGCAGAAATCACATGTAACATAGTTTATAGTTAGTGTATGCATTGTTTGTTGGCTCAAAAGGATGATCAAATCGCTTTTTTTCACAATGCAAGTAGCAGGAGACGCCATTGTCGCGATCTCTAAATCTCAAAATATTTCGGAGATACATCTCTGAAATTTTTCAGCGTTTCATATCCTCTGGGATATTCCAGAGATGCATCTCCGAAAGTATTCAAAGTAAAAAGATTTAAGGTGTTTCCGGATATGTATCTCCGAAATATCATGTAGTTTATTTTTTTTCTTTTTCTTGTTTGTTTGTGTTGTCTACACTAATAATACGGCGTAATTTACCTTACAGGTATTATGGCTGACAGAGTCGACAGACTGAGACATGGTTGGGTTGTCCAGCACACATATGTTCAGTGGGAGCGGAGCCAGTAGGTTCCGGAGGCAACGGATACATCTGCTCAGATAGAGGCATCGACTTCTGGGGCGCAGTCTACCTCTGGGGCTCGGCCTTCACCTCAGATCATTCCATTTCATGTCACTTCATCTTCTTCATCTTTTTCTTCTTCTTGTAGGAGACAGAACTCACCAGCTGACGTGTCACTTCCCCCATCCTCCCGCAGGCATCAGGATGCACTAGTGCCACCTCCCACTGATCTGATACCACCTCCTGCTGATGATCTTGATGATCCAGGGCCACCTCTGAAGGGTGAGGTTACTAAGGATGCTGATTCAAAGGGATTTGGAGGAGATCCATCTGATATGTCCTTACTTTCTCTGTATCCAAACCACACTGGAAAACATATTCGGGACAGAGAGATAGCATTGGTATAGTTTTTTATTTACTTTTTACGTTAATTTAAACTGCTGACATTAATATTTCTAACATTGATTATTACTGGAATTGATTATTTTTGGAAAATTACAAGTGCTTGATCCCCAGAAGTTTCTGAACCATGAGAGGAAGATTGTTGGCTTGCCTCAGCCGGATGATGAGTGGTCTCATTCGGTTCTGACCTTATCCTGGGTTGAGTGACCTATCCATGACCGGTTATACTCTAGTTAACCACGGGATGCTTAATGCAATCGTGGATATATGACATTCTGAGACGTCTTCTTTTCATCTCATGTATGGTGAGATGTCTATCACACTGGACGATGTCTCGTGTTTGTTACACCCTCCGATCAGGGGGAGATTCCTCGGTCATGGTAGGATGACCAAAGATGAGGCAGTCGAGATGATGGTGGAGCATCGGGGGGTGATTCAGGGAAGGAGGTTGAGGAGGTGGATAGAACTAAGGGCGTTCATGCTAGGTTTAAGTTCCTAAAGGAGATATATGATGAGGAGATCATTATTGCAGAGGTAGTTGATGGTTATCCTAAGCAAGTAGTAGTACACAGGGTCCGTGCTTTGAGGGCATATTTTCTTTTTTTTTACTGGCACTTGCATTTTTTTGGACAGAAGTGCCACTCATGCTGACATTACATACCTACGATACTTCTTGGATCTCACTCGAATCCATGAGTACAACTAAGGAGCCGATTGTATGGCCTATCTATATTCAAAGTTGAGAGATAGATGTCGGTGGAGGACGAAGCTGGTCACAGAAAGAACGACACTAGTGGTGGTAGTAATTTTTTATCCTTGAATGTTTTTTATTATCTTATCTTTTTCATTTCATATTTGTGAAACCATTGCCAAAAATTCTTGATCCATGAATGCTTTTTATTTTTATTTTCATTTTAGGCTTGGATCCTTCAGCACTTCCTGCGCATCGCTGGTTGGGCGAGTGTGGATGAGTAAACTAAGGACATGCCTTATGTCTGTGCTTTTCTCTCATTGAGAGTGAACTAAGCGGTCGAGCCATTCAGAGTCTATCTTGATCGCTTGGTTGCTGAGGATATCCACTTCAATGGCTATGTGGATCAGCGTTAGCTACATGGATCTCTATACTTCGAATGGCTGGCTTGTGGATCACGTATCACTGCTTCTCATCTGTCCGAGCGCATCATACGATAGTTCGGGTACATCTAGACCATCCTTAGACACCCTTGTTGTCTCTGTTACTTATGTCTTGACTCGTAGACAGATAGAGGAGATGTTTATTGATTATAAGAGTCTTCTGGCTCTAGAAAAGGCACAGGTTACCATAACGTCGAACGACTAAAGCTACGTCGACGAATACATCAGGTGGTTCTTCAGGGTCTGACATTCATACATGGTGTCGACTACTTCAGAAGATTCGTCAAGACCATCTCATCAGAAGATTCTATAGGAGCAGTATGTTCAGCTATATCATACTGAGGATGTATTGTCTTGGTGTCGTCACACAGTGGAGATTGCGCGAGTAGGCATTGACGAGGATATATTCCTTAAAGGGTCTACTGTTAGGCGAGTCATGGATGCCATTATAGAGGAGACACATGAGTCATTGTTGTACCATAGACATCGCCAAAGGACGGGGGATTGATGTTCGAGGAGGCAGAGGAGGTATAAGAGATGTTATTATGCACACTCAGTAGTTGTCTGTTATTATTTTGATGTTGTATTATAGTTTGTACTTTATTTCTGACATTGTTACTATATTTTGGATCTCATGTTGTACGATATTTTACTATTGTATTGCTATATTATTTTTGATACACACAATATTAGTCTTTTATTAATTTTTACGTCTATTTTTTCAATTGAAAACAAATACAAAGCTCATTATAAAAAAAACTTGTTCTGATGCACTTTGGAGATGTATCTCCGGAATATTCTCGTAGATACATCTCCGAAACAATTCAAATATGAATAGGTTAGGGGTGACATGTTTTGAGTGCTTAGAGTTTAAAATTGTTCCGGAGATATATCTCCGAAATATGTCAACGTTTACTAAAAAATGGGATGCGTCCAAAGATGTATCTTCAAAAATAAGGGGCAGTTATGGAATTTCGCACGATGAGGTAGAAACATATAGGGTGGAAAAAGAAATTCCCTTATCTTAATTATGATCTATTCCCAGAGTCGGCCGAATTCTAATTTTAAAAAAGACAAAAATTAAAAAAAAAACACAATTATAATAACTAAAATAACACATAAAAATATAATTAATTATTAATAAAAATAATATATAATTATAATTATTTTACCTTAGATCAATCTCATTTTTTAATACATTGAGTTTTTATTATATCATTTTTTTAGTTTAATTGATTTTTTAATAATATTTTTTTATATTTATTAATATTAATATTAAAAATTGGACTTTTT